AATTTTGTAAATCCAACCGTTAAATTGAAAATTTTTTACTCTTAAATCATATATACAAAATTTTGTATTAATCGAAGCTGATTTCTTATAGAACAAAATTAATGTAATATATACATTTCAAAATATATAAAATATTAACATTTTGATTACTTTGACATTGTTGTTCAATTTTAACAAAATTTGATATAAATATATAAAGTAATATGAACTTTTAATCAAACGGTTGGATTTACAATATTCACATTTAATATAAAGTTATTGAGTGATATGTAATACTTAATAAAGGTTACATCAGTATTAGTGTGTATATATATATATATATATATATATATATATAGAGAGAGAGAGAGAGAGAGAGAGAGAGAATATATATATATAGAGAGAGAGATAGAGAAAGAGGAGGAATCAAATAGCTTACAAAATAACTTTTGGTAAAGTTATTCTGCTTAATAACTCATGGTGTGTGTTAAATTTTATCGATCCAATTGTTAAATTAAAGTTATTAAATTTTACTAATAATTAATATAAAAAAATTAATTAGCTTTGAAATAAATTATTTGTTAATTAACAATATAATTGAAACATTAATCATTTTAAATTATTTAACTAAAATTTTATTGACAATTTACTATATGATTTTGATATTTTTGTATAACTTATATTTGGTTTTAAATTTGATGTGAAAATATTATGATATAGTTAGATAAGATTTTAAGTTAGTATTTTATTAATGGTTGATAATTAGAAAATAAAATAAGGATAAATACATTTTTTAAATTTTATATGTTTGATTTAAGATAAATAAATATATTAAATTAATTAATAATTTATATTTAAAATGTTAAAATTTAATTTATAAGTATGTAATAAATAAATATTTATAATTTTATAAATTATATTATCATTATAAATTATAAAATTAATTTATAAGTATGTAATAAATAAATATTTATAATTTTATAAATTATATTATATCATTATAAATTATAAAAATAAATAATTTAAATTATAATTTTTAAATATAAATAAATAGATTGTTAATTATAAAAGTAAGTATATCTAAATAAAAATTAATTAAATATATTATTATTATTATTATTCGTAATATAATTATTATATTTTTATAGTAATCTAACGATTGGATTTACAAAATTCACATTTAATATAAAGTTATTGAATAATGTGTAATACTTAGTAAAAGTTACACCAGTGTTAGTATAACCCTCCTCCCTCTCTCTCTCTCTCTCTCTCTATATATATATATATATATAGGGAGAGAGAGAGAGAGAAAGATAGAGATAGAGAGAGAGAGAGGAGGAATCAAATAACTCTTGGTAAGGTTATTCCGCTTAATAACTCATGGTGTTTGTTGAATTTCATCGATCAAATTGTTAAATTAAAAGTTATTAAATTTTACTAATAAATAATATTGAAAAAAGTAATTAGCTTTGGAATAAATTAATTGTTAATTAATAATATAATTGAAACATTAATTATTTTAAATTATTTAACTAAAATCTTAATTATTGACAATTTATTATATGATATTAATATTTTTGTATAACTAATATCTAGTTTTAAATTTGATATGAAAATATTATTTAAAATATTAAAATTTAATTTATAAGTATGTATTATAGTACAAACATGAGATTGTATAGTTGAGGATGACTTAAATGAATTAATTTGTACAAATTATATTGACAACATGCATATATATTTTGGTAGCTTATCTCATCAGAACTTCACAGTTAAGCATGCTTGACCTGGAGTAATGAAGGGATGAGTGACCTTCTGGAAAATGAAGGGATAGATGACCTTCTGGAAAGTTTCCCAGAAATTGCGCAAGTAAGGATAAAATACGTTAAAAAAAATGAAATGTCGGATTTTTTTTCCGATGTCCCTTTTTCCAAATCCGTCGAAAATCCTTAATCCTGTCGGAAATTTATTTATTTCTGTCGAAAATTAGCATTTTTCTTGTAGTGTGGCCTCTAAACCTACCAAAGACACCTCTACTATGCAAGGCTCTGAGCTTAATCAACAGAGCCAATGTTATCCTCGAGTCATTTAGAGGAAGCTCGTTAGTGAACATCACAATCAACTATTTGATAGACGTCCCACTCCCTTGGTCATGGAAGCTTATCAACATGAAGGTGTACGATGGTTCAACATTCCCGAACGAATACCTAGTTTCATATGAAACTATAATGCACTTGTACACCAAGGATAAGTCAGTCCTATGCAAGATCTTCCTAACAACACTCGAAGGCCCCGCATTCCTATGGTATGCTCACCTACCACCATTGAGCATACCTAGCTACATTGTCTTAACGCAGTAAACCAAGGCACACTTAACCACTTGCCGGACCTTGACTTTGGTGCTTTTCAAAGAAGTACGATCAAAATGAATCTGAAACAAAGAATAATGCAACCATTCCTAAAGGATAACCGCAAATGCATAATGAAGAAATAAATGATTAAATATTTTCGAATAAGAACCACAAAGGCAACACCAAGAAACCACAGTGATACCCCGCAAATTGATATATCCTTGGTTAAATAAATTGAAGTGTAATTGTGGTGCAACTTTTTTTTATTGAAGAAGACATCATAAGAATTAGAACTTATTTAAATAATGAAGGTAATTTTTTTTTTATAAAGAACTGTCATTATCAAAACTAATATGCCCGTCAAGAAGGGTAAAATAAGTGATATATTTATATTCATGTTTGTGGTGAAATTCGTTTATTGAGTTTTTTTTATTTGAGCTAGCACTAATTTGCTTCAATTTAGGTAGTTACGTTTAAATTTCATTAAGAATGGGGATAGACAGAGCAGAGTGACTAATAATTACTTGTTTCCAGATTTTCAACAACAATTATCAAGCAATAATGTTCATGCATGTAGATACTCAAATAAACGGAATGAACAATACATATATTGGCAATACAAATCATAGTCCAGTTTACATAATTATCAATTTACAATATCATAATTAAACGAATTGCGAACTACGGAATTTAAACTAAACTACATTAATTCTACGAAAAGAAAATCAAATGTGACCAATAAATCATACCTAACAGCAATTCCATGCATGGAAACCATATACACATACAGAAAGTGCTTAAAAAAGTGCAAGTATGAAATTTTCGACCTCTGGTGAAGTACTATGCTTCTTATATTTATAGAGTCGATCGAGAGCAGTTAATTTTGTACAGGTTCATTGTGGGTGTATAACCACTACGCACTAAGTAAACTTTGTGGCTTAAAAATAACTTCTCATAACCGTTCCATCCACGTTTTTATTTTCTCAGCTCGATCTTCAATAACCGCCTTGGTGTACTTATTTAACTGTCTAGAAAACCTCTGGTAACCTCCTCTTGCATTTTTCGAGTCATTCTCAAGCATGCATGCTTATGGTTCTTGATATTCAATTTGTTTGTGGTGGATACCTTATCAATTAACTTCTTCGAGTGGAATTTTTCGAGTGACCCTAATAATTCATAATTAATTTTATTGTCACTCATTTCATAATGTGATTATTAAAATAGATTGTAAATAAATTGTAGATCAAATTCATATGAAAGATATTTTTTAATATGGCATGATTAAATTCATAATAATGTGAAAGATATTTTTAAATGTGACATGATTCTTAATCAAATTCGATAGATTATAAAATCTTCTCTTTTTATTATTATTCCATATACTATAAGAGAAAGTAATATAATAGCTTCTCATTAATTATATTTGATTCTGAGAATATTGTTGAAATTTATCGTTGTATTCCAAATATTTTATTAATGAAAAGAATTTGATTCTCTTTGTGTCAAATTAAAAAACAACACAATTTCCGAAAGGGTTGTGTACTTAATGAGCTAGCTAGAGTAATACAATCATTCTCCTAGCTACTTTAATTATTTTGATTGATAGCATACATTGCATAGCTATAACCCCCAAATAGGACTGGGTATGGGACGGGTTCGTGTATAAAAATCTTAACCTGAACAAACTTGTACTATTTAATTTTTGACCCAAATCTGCCAGAATGATTATTCGATTTGAGAGGGTCGGGTGTTGTCGAGTTGTGGATTTTTTTGGGTCGGTTTATTCGATTGGAACAAAAAAAAATTTTTTAGACATATTAAATGTTTGATCATCTTTCTTAAAAATATATATTTTGGCACAAATATTCTATAAAGGAACTTAATTAAAATTTAATAAAAATACAAGTATTTAAAAAGTAATTAAATTCAAAACATATTTTGTGTTGAATAAAGTTAATTTTAAAAATGGGTTTTTCCTTCAATCTTAATAGAAACATCTACTAAATATTAATTTTTTTTTTACAAAAAAATAGCAACCTTTTTATACACTAATAAACTAAATCTATACAAATCCCACCGTAATTAATTGGATTTTTTTTTCTAAATATTGTTTTATATTACAAATAAGATTGTATAGACATTATAAAAATTTTAAAATTTTAAAACACAATTATATCATAATCATGTTGTTGGATAAATTTTATGACTCACAATGTTAAATTCATATTTTCGATATAAACTTAAAATCATACATTTATTATTCAATTTATAGTTTTTATTTTTAATAGGGGCAGATGAGTATCGATGAGTTTAAATTTTCAAACCAAACCCGTCCACTCAAACCCGTTGCTACCCGATTTCGACTTGCATCAATCAACAATAATTGGTAGCAACTGCAAAATTTTCTTATATGGTAATTGTATCTCAAATGGTGCATTTTGTGTGGACAGAGAGCTCACAGTAATTGTAGTGCGAATATGGAAATAGGGAATAAGCATGCAATAATTCCACCATTAATTGCAAATTGCACCTTTTCTTTAATTGTAGATCACAAAATCATTGTTGATTGTTGACACAATTAAGCACTCATCCATTGCTCTATATATAACATGAGAGGGCGCTTCCAAAGCACAATAAGTGAAACCAAGAGTTAAGAGAACTCGAAGTAACATGAAAGGCAATAATACACTTTTGTTGAATTTATTCTACACTTTCTTACTGTTTCTTGGAGCTTCAAGCTCATCAGAATCAGGGAATGGTGGCAATAGTGACGAAGTTTATATAGTGTATATGGGAGCCGCGGATTCAACAAAGGCTTCTCTTCGGAATGACCACGCTCATCTTTTGAATTCGGTGCTTAGAAGGTACGTAATATATAGTAGTAAAATATATTATTACATGGACATCATTTGGTGATATATTACATAGTTTGTGACGACAATTTTATGTGTGTATGAATTGAAGGAATGAGAAGGCTCTAGTAAGGAACTATAGACATGGGTTCTCAGGGTTTGCAGCTCGTCTAACAAAAGAGGAAGCGACATCAATTGCTCACGAACCTGGTGTCGTCTCTATTTTCCCTGACCCCATTCTCAAGCTCTACACTACACATTCTTGGGATTTCCTTAAAGACCAATCTCGGTTCAAAATCAACACCAAACCAGACATAGTCTCCAGCTCTTCTTCCACATCAGACGTCATCCTTGGCATATTAGACTCAGGTTATCAATGATTAAAGAAAAGTGATATATAGTATTTACGTAACATGCACATGTTATTGATTATGCATGTTTCATCATCTAAAAAAAATTAACACAAAAAGGGAACATTTCATTTTCAGGAATAAGGCCAGAGTCGGCGAGTTTTAGCGACAAGGGTATGGGTCCTATTCCATCTCGTTGGAAGGGCATTTGCATGAAATCCCAAGACTTCAATTCCTCTAACTGTAACAGGTCAAATCTCAAGCATAGACTTAGCCACCAAAAACCATATAATAAACATATAAAAGAAAATGTTTCTGTTATTATTAACTAAAAATGCGATTAATTTCCATTGAATCACAATCACTTTACTTGATTAATTATTGTTTAGTTATCAAGCTTTGACATTTTAATGATTTTATTCATTTGCATATTGGGTCCCACTAGAGTAAAGATTAGGTTTATAATGATTTTAACTTTAGATTTTGTTTAGGAAGCTAATTGGCGCAAGGTATTATGTTAACCCTAATGGGGACAAAAATGAGAACACACCAAGGGACTCATTGGGTCACGGGACCCACGTGGCGTCGACGGCGGTGGGTGCCGCCGTGAAAAACACATCGTACTATGGTCTTGCGGCGGGGACCGCGACGGGTGGGTCCCCAAATACAAGATTGGCGGTTTACAAAGTGTGTTCGACAATTGGGTGTTTTGGTTCGGGCATTTTAGCGGCGTTTGACGATGCCATTGCCGACGGAGTGAACTTGTTGTCTCTGTCGCTCGGTGGTTCCCCTGGAGCCATATCGGACTTCACGACGGACCCCATTGCGATCGGAGCATTCCACGCCATGGAGCACGACATCCTGGTGGTGTGCGCCGCAGGGAATAATGGTCCAACTTCGAACACGGTTGTCAACGACGCACCTTGGATTTTTACCGTTGCTGCTTCCACCATTGACCGAGATTTCCAATCCTCCGTTGTCTTGGGTAATAACAGCACCATCAAGGTATGTATTGAATTCAACTGAAAATTCCAACTTTAGATGTTTTATATTTTTTTTTCCTTTATTTTTTAGATGTAGTTATGAAATAAAATTAAAATTTATTAATTAAATTTCATAAAAGTTCATCTAGAAAGGATGACACGTTTAAATTACTTATATAATAATGCTACATGCACAACAAAATTTGTAAAATATTATTTTTGTATATATAGAATTATTTATAACAAACAAATTGATGGAGGTATATATAAAAGTGATGTAATACAAGTTGAATAATTTTAAAGGTTCATATAACATTACTCCAATAATAAGCATTTATATGCATATGGATTAAAAAGAAATAATATTAATCAATTCTCATAACTAACGACGACCTTGAAAAGTGTTTTGTTGCATAGAGAAAATCTTCTGGGCTCAAAAGATGATTATTCTTTCATTTAAGTTTCCAAATTCAAGCACGCTAGTTGTGCACCTTTGTTTTAAGAGGAGTGGAAAAAAATCACCTTTCTTGCTTTTGTTAGAGCTAGCTAACATATAATTATGCAATTATGTTAACAAGCTAATGTCATACACTTAATTCTTGATTTAAGTAAAGTTCAAATCATATAAAAAGGAATCAGATGAAAAAAATATTTCATTTTAGGATTTTCCTAATAAATGTTTTAAAAGTTTTATTAGCTAAATAAGTGTTTAATACATCATATTATTAGTTTTTATTTGCTTCAAGAAAAATATAATATCTTCTTTTTTTTATATTTTTATCACAATTTTTACTTTTATTTTAAAGACATACAAGACAACTAGTGTTGTGTTTACTAATCATCGATAACTATTAAATTTCAGGGAAAAGCCATAAATTTCTCTCCTCTCTCAAATTCTCCAAAATATCCATTGATATATGCTGAGGCTGCCAAGGCAAATAGCGCAACCTTAATTGAAGCAAGGTAAGCGCACAAAATCTACGAGTTTTGAAAAACCTTAACATAAAATAAGATTCATCAATAATCATGTCAAAATCTCTCAACAAAGCACATGTTTCATCTGTCCAATGTAGACAATGCCACCCAGATGCATTAGATGCAACTAAAGTTAAAGGAAAGATAGTCGTTTGTGATGGAAAAACTGATCATGAAGCATTTATCACTAAAGATAAAGTTGATACTGTAGAAATGGCGGGAGGAATAGGTTTGGTTCATATTACTGATGAAGAAAAAATAGCAACAAAATATGTGGACTTCCCAACAACGGTGATAAGTTCAAATGATAGTGTCAAAATTATTCAATATCTCAATTCAACAAGGTAAAGATGTCACATAAAATTAGTACAAGCAAACATTTAACTTTTAAATTTGTTTTGAATCTTATTTGAGACCAAGATCAACCATCACATTTTATCACAACTTTATTTAATTGTTTGTGCATATAACATAAAGCAATCCAACGGCGACAATTCTTCCAACAGTTACAACTCTTGATTATAAGCCTGCTCCTGTGGTGCCAATCTTTTCATCAAGAGGGCCTTCACAGCTTTTTAGCAATATTCTCAAGGTACAATATGGAAAAAATGATTATATAAATATAAATCTTGAAAAGCAATCTCTATGTGCAACACTGTACAAAACCTATTTTTTCTTTTTGTAGCCTGATATTGCAGCACCGGGAGTTAATATTCTTGCAGCATGGATTGAAAATAGTGAAGAAGAGGTTCCAAAAGGAAGAAAGCCCTCATTATACAACATGATCTCAGGGACTTCCATGGCCACTCCACATGTTTCAGGGCTTGCAAGTAGCATCAAAACACAAAACCCTACTTGGAGTGCATCTGCAATCAAATCGGCCATCATGACTACAGGTCAAACATTTGATAAATATACATTTTTTTTGCTTATTTAACCTTTAACATTGACAATATTCTTCTTACAAAATACAAGCACGATGTGTGTTTTTAGTAAAAAAAGGATGTAAATATAATGTAGTCATAAACTATAAATCAATATTCCTGTGTAATGAGATATAGTAATGCATCAACTTCTATTTGCAGCAATTCAAAACGACAACTTGAAGGCTCCCATAACAACAGATTCAGGGCCAGTAGCCACACCTTATGACTATGGAGCAGGTGAAATAACAACATCTGAGGCATTGCAACCAGGGCTAGTTTATGAAACCAACACCATTGACTACTTGAACTTCTTGTGCTATATTGGACTTAACATAACCAATATTAGGACCATTTCCAAAAGTGTCCCTAAAAATTTCAGTTGCCCCAAGGATTCAAGTTCCAATCTTATCTCCAACGTTAACTACCCTTCCATTGCAGTAAACTTCACTGGAAAAGGAGTTGTGAATGTGAGTAGAACTGTCACAAACGTTGGTGAAAAAGATGAAACAGTATACTCCTCCGTTGTCAATGCTCCTAGTGGAGTAAAGGTTACATTAACTCCAAATAAACTCCAGTTTACAAAAAGCAGTAAAAAACTAAGTTACCAAGTTATTTTCTCCTCAACTCTAACCTCTTTGAAGGAAGATCTATTTGGATCTATTACTTGGAGTAATGGAAAATATACGGTTCGAAGTCCTTTTGTATTAACTAAATAGTCAACTGAGAAAAGAAATGAATAAATTCAAGCTTGGTTCTTCATGGTGCCTACTCTCAAGCCTTCATCATTTATAATTTTTTTTAGTAAAAAACTTGGCATGTAAAGCATTACTATAGGATAGAGACATATACCAATAACGTTGACACTTCAAAATCTACCGATAATTCACAACACACCAAAATGTATAAAATTCAAAAAGAGATATAAGAATAAAGACCATGAGAGACTAGACAAAAACTCAAGAGATAAATTAAGAAAATCTATAAGAAAAATATTTATAATTCATTTACCCTCCATATTAATTTAAGTAGTTATAATCTCAACTTGTTAAATACACTTTATCAAATATACAAGCTGGCCACTTACTATTTACACTTAAAATTTATTCCAACTTACTCACACACGTTTTGCCCCACCTTAATGTAAACAAGAAATTACATTGATGCATATATAGCTTGATGGAAGTAAACTCGATTTTTAACACTAGATGGTAAATCAATAACAATTGAATGCTTCAAATGCTAGCCCCTCAAAAGTAGTTGCAAACTAACAGATGGGTTTTCCACAAAACTTGTACAAGGTAAGGGGGCATTGAGCCTAAAGATCCTCATCCAAGAAGATAAATGGAGAAAAAGAGCATGGGTGGATGTTACAAAAGTTGTTCAATTGTTAAAATGTATTTTGTATTTAAATATGTTTCAATAATTTTCATATTTTTTTAACAAAATGTTGTTAAGCTAATTTTTGCAAATTACATTTTGGTATCAAAAAACCAAAAATACCACTAATGAATTATGAGAATTACATTTTTGTATGATTGATTCAAATATTCACCTTTTGGTTTAAAAAGAATATGTTCGGTTTAAAGAATCTAGCCATCGGCTAAATACTAAATCCCATTAACATTGAAAATATAACTCGATAGAATTCACCATTTTGTTAATCTCTTTTTCCCCTCTACTTTCACATTTCACACCTTCCTATCAATCAACTCAATTTATTTTTCTCTAAGTGGAGCCACGACTATGACCGATTGAATGTTGAAAAAAAAACTAAAGGTGGATTTTATTATTCCTATCACATTAATATTGGAATGTAGACATTTGAATCAGATTGAGAGAAATTTTTTAGTGACACAGTCGATGACGTCAAGTACTCTGATCTCTTATTGTAAGTTCCAAAATATATTATTGTCTTTAGATATACTGTAAGTTTTATACATTCACAAAGTAGTGTAACATGTATGTATCTTATTAATAGTTTTATTATCGGCAGTTTCATAACACTCAAAATCCTATATTTCAAGATGGGTGTTGCATTAGTAAGATAACTTGGTCATATTTTCAATTGACAAGACTACCATCTATTAATTGAATTTATGGTAATTTTCAACAAAACTAGATGTGATCATCTTTGTAGTAGTAAACCTTCACCAAGCTTAAGTACATGTCGTAATATCTATTCCAAAGGCTCAATTTACGTACTAACATAAAAAGTAAATTCACCAATAGTCTCTATTCAAAGATGAAAAGTCAGTTAGCAATGATAAAAGCTTATTTTGATAAGTTTCTCTAAAAACACTTTTAAGAAATAAAATAAAATAAGATTTTTTATAAACTAAAATGAAATTGTCTATAAGTTAATATGTAAAAGTTCTCTCATATTAATATATTTATATTTTTTTCTCCTAAAAGTATTTCTCAAAAAGTTTATCTAAAATAATCCTAAAAGTGACCAAATTCTAATGTGAATACATTAGGCATCTGCTGGTCGAAGAACAATAGTTATGAAGTCAATTGAAAGGTTGAATAAGATCAATGAACAAGTTAGGAAAAGGAAAAATAATGTTGAAACCATGTGACTCTTGTAACACCATGTAACATCAAACACAATCCCTTACTAACTATTTACTTATTTGTTGTTATAAAAATGAGGGTAAATTTTTTGCATTTGTTAAAATATTATTACCATAAAATATAAAGAACCATGATCTCCTTAAATTTGAACATAAGTTATTACAAATAGATACAACGAAAATACGTATTAACTATTATCACCCATACATCATAACACCTAACAAGAGCAACACAAAAATTCTATCTTACCCCAAACATAAGTATAAGTGAGAATAGTCTTAATACGTTATATCTTCTTGGTAGTCTCCATAATCCTCTCGATATTCATATTACCATCTGACACATAAAACTCTTAGTGGGATCTAGAATTCGTTCTGGTCATACTTGCTTGACACTAACACAATATGGATCCATACTACCATGTTTTGAAAGTAATTGGGAGTACATATGTCCCAACTCATAAATGGAACGATTCCATCCCTCGGATGAATCTCAATATATCAATGGGATACTTCTTTTCTTATCCAAATTTGGGGTACTCTCACACTAATCCTTGAATATTGGAGCAGTTGTCGGGGTTGTTGAGTTAGTTTAGTGGAGACTCCGATACAAGGTGCTACCTTGACCTTTGGCTTTATCAACCTCTCAACACCTTAGCCCCAAGGTATTCTCACTAGTGTGAGACCCCCAGCCTTCGACTTTACCTAACTATAACTTTTGGTGCAAGGCTATATGTTGTCACATGTCCCTCACATCATCATATTCTTTACAATATAATCCTATACATCTCTTTCCAGAGAATTCCATGGTCTCAGTCACTTTGAGCACCAATCTTTAATAACATACCTTTATTCTTAGTGTAACACCCCAGTTTTCAATAAAGTTATTATTATTATTATAATAATTATTATTATTATTATATGGTATTTGGTCATAATTATTTTAATAATTATAAAAGAATATTATTTTGTACGTTTTAAATAATTATTGTTTTGGACAATTATTTTGTACGTATTAAATAAGTATTTTTTATTAGCATATTTAAATAAATATTTATATGTTTTAAGAGAAGGTTGATTTTATATGATATTTTGTTATTGAAATTATATTATTATATTTTGGGTCAGAAATATATTATTATTATAGAGGAAAAATATTTTATAATATACATGTATTTATTTTATTTAATTATTTTGAGGAAAAAGAGAAGTGGGTTAGAAGAGAAGGAAAATGGGTTGGGTTGACCCAGCCCAATGGATTAATTTTAAGGAGTCAGGTAGCGTTAACCCTATCTACCTCATTTGCGTTCTGAAGGGTTAGGAAAAAAAAAGAAGAAACAAAGAGCTCTAAGGAAGAGTACTCAGGAACGACCTTAGATCACACCTTTGTCTTCTGCTCATCCAGGTAAGGGGGGAGTGAGAAACCTCGCTCTGGGTGTGGGATTGTATGCTGGGTAGTGGGATTGGCCCCCAATCCTGTGTTTGCTGTATTTTTATGTATGCTCATGTATGAGGGGTTTCTCCCAATTGTATCTGTTTTGCTTATTATTTTTTCTTATATACAATTAATTGTATGACTTGAGATCTCTATGGGTTCCTATGGGAAATCCTATGAGAAAACGGACAAAATATGAATGTTTTCTATTTTGCCTTCTGATTACTTTGTTGTGTTCCTTGTTGGATGTGATGCATAAATATGTGTTTATTTTTTAAAATATATCAGTTTTGATATGATTTTGAGTGTTCTGTAGACACTATGTGAATATGATGAGATGATGTAAAATTATATATATATTTTTTATAATTATTGTATATGTATGTTGGGGTAGAGGGTGTCACATTAAGTGGTATCAGAGCAGGTCGATCCAATCGGCCGTGAGTTATGTACTTATCGTGATTCTGTTGTGTACTCTGATTGTGTCTTATTTGTTGTGTACTTTGATAATGTTTTGCTTTGATGATGATGATGTTCTTCTTGTTAAGTTATTTTGTAATTAGAGGAATGATAGTCATGATAGTGTTAGCTAATACCATTATGACTGCTCTTTTTCATTCTTATGATTGCTTATTTGTTTGATACTTCTTGCTTACGTAAGAAGTAGTGGTTGAGTGATATCGCTTGTGTTGCAAGCATATGTGCGAGTAGTGGTAGACGAGATATTGTGCTAATATTATAGGAACTATTGAGGCCTTAGACTTGGGTAAGACATTGATTGTTTTTAGTGTATTAAGAGTTTACGATTGGTGGAA